CTTTATCACATATTTAGCCAAAGTGCACTGACCCACCGGCTGGCATGTAGGGTCACGGCAGGCTGAAGCTCTTTGCTGAAGCAGATATAGGCCTGGCAGAAAGCCCTGTTAGGCTGTAGAGGCCCCAGCTGTATTTCAGCATCCTTTTTCCTCTGTCCTTAGATCTTGCTGTGCCCAACAATCTGCAGCACATGACTGATCACAACTTTGTGTCACACTTACAGAGATGTAGTCTAAGGCTTCGGAAACAATACGTCAGCACAATGTATGGCCCCAGAGCACTTTTTTTTTTTTTTTTTTGCAGTCTAGACCTTCACTATTAAGGGTGCAATTTCTATGCCAGAAATACTAGCCTATATTTTTTCCCTGCATGATCTACCACAAGTGACATTTAACATAGCTGGAGTGGAGCAACTGTGAATCTACTTAGCGTTGGTCTTACTAAAGTCAGTGGAAACATGCTGACCCTGTAAAAAGAGAATGGAACCAGTGTATCACTACACATTTATGCCAGGGCAACTCCTCTGCCTCATACTAGGATAAACTGCAGTGAGACAGCAGTGAACCAGACCTAATACTTTTACTACTTCTATGCTAAATTTATGAGGCACCCAGTTTTTTTTTTTTTTTTTTTTTTTGGCCTAGGAACAGCTGATAGGCAGCACATGAGGTTAAGCCATCTGACAGCCCAGAGGCAGCAAACGGCTTGTAGATCAGAACTGACAAACCCTGGCCATCTATGCTACTCATCAGCATGTGGGAACTCTGGACCGCTCTCTTCATGTATGTGTTCTGTGTTGATTAGTCATTAAGCCAGAAAAGGATCGGTAGGACATGTTGGAATGGGTGGAAAAAAAAAAAAAGAATTATGGTGAGGAACAGAAATCTGGTATTGAAGTCCTTAATGGCACATCCATTCACTTGGGCTGGGCATCCCTGCAGCACAGCAACACACCTTTCCTCTGGGATATGTGCCTAGACCAGACCAATTTCAGAAAAGAATTTAGCTTACAAAGCCTGAACCATGAAATGTCCATAGTTAGAATGTGAATTTATATTAAAAAGACTCTCGTATTATGTTAGTTAACCATGATATACAGTGGGTATCTCCAGTGAAGGCAGTTGGGCTACATCTGATCCAGATATTTTGTGTATTGTTAGGAACAAATTACAGAGAGACCGAAAACCCCCTGCAGGTGAGGCCTTAGTTTTGATGTTGTCTTAGTTATGATGTTATTAGTTTTGATGATGTCTCCTTTCTTTTTAGGACCTTGTAGTAATGGGGAATTCCTCTCTCAAAACTATACAAGCTTATTCTTCATTCTTCAAGGATCTCTTACTTTATCTACAGTACAGAATTTTTATGTATAGAATCAGCATTTCAGAAAGGTACTCTCTCTATTCTATTTGTAGCAATAGCATGTAATGCTTGCTTGCTTCTCAGAAATTTTGCCAAAGTGTATGTTCTTCAGGGAAGTTCAGAGAGTTGCATCTGCCCTTAATTACAACAAATCACTGTTTCAGACAGAGAGAGACTTTCACTGGACGATTATGTACGAACACTGAATTTTATCCCTGGAAAGGAATGATGACCTCTCTGCATATGTATTATTTTATGAAAAGTCAACATAGAAGTAAAAATAAATATGCAGAGCTAAAATGTGATAATTTTGGAACATGTACGAGGACATATGCGTAATCTAAATAGTTTAAATACTGACTTTAGTCAATTTGCACTTGTTTTTAAAATCGGATCTCTCTTCATTTCAGTGTGGTCAGGTGGTCAGCATGAGTACGATTCTTTCCCAATAAAACATTTTAACTATACTTGTCCAGCATTATCGAGCATAAGAAAACAACTGTACATGTTGATGAACCAGCATATGCTGCATTAGTGACAAATAGGACAAAAGTTGTGTAGTGTCACATGTCAGAAAATGTCCACCTATCTCTTTAACCAAGCACAGACAGCATATCTTTCTTTCTCTCAGCTCCCCCGACTTAGGATTAGTCTGTCTGAGAAAAGAGATAAGATTGTCCTCAAAGACTAATAAAAATTCTAGACAGAAACTGTTTTTTTCCTAGCAGTTAATGCATTGGTAAGGGAAGTTATTTTTTTAAAGAATCATAATTTAACTACAATTTGATTGATCACAAGATGCTGTTGTCTGAGAAGAGGAAAAAGGAAGTCATAGCTACCAGCTTGTTAGGTCTTGGACTGTATTAATGTAGAAAACTCATTGCTAATTTAAAAATTAGCTTAATTAATTGATATAGAGGCTGAACAAAATGATATGCTTAAGACAAGGCTCAATAATGTGACATATTTTTGGAAGAGCTACACAAATAAATACTCTGAATTTTTATTTTGCCTCAGTTCAGTAAAATGTATTTTGTGTAGGAATTGAATAGTTTGTATGCCACATTAGGACAGGATTTAACATTGATAATATTGCTATTGAGTATTAAATCTTAGTGTAGTCATTCAGTTCTACGTTATTGCATTTTTCTGTAAAAGTTATTTTCTCCTAACGATCAAGCTAGCTAGCTAAGGATCTCAGTAAATTTTGAGTGCCAGGTGGAAACTGCAAGCTGTATCTTACTTCATCAATGGCAGGACATTCTGCTCAAGAAAACGGATTTCTGTGCCTTGAAACTCTGGTCATAACAGAAATTAAAACACGTTTTCGGAGTTCTGACAGCTTCCCAGATGTCGCTCACTGGACCTTGAGCTTTAGAGGGATAACAAGCTTGTCCTGAAAATCTGTCATCACACAAATGTCTAGATTTAAATTCTTTCTGGAATTTTTACAAGGTCCTATTGTTGTTGAAAAATCTTTATTTGGCCAATGGACAAGTCCCGGCAGTTACCCATTGCTTGTTTGGACAAGTTAGTTGTCATGGAAAATCAGCATTATTCAGTTGTAGCACATTCTGCTCGCTCTGCTACAGCGTATCTTTAAACACTGTCTGCAGCGCTCCTGTTCTTTAACACTTGTTTTCATTGCTCAAATATAATTTTAAAACGTCACCATAGCCAAAGAATAAAGCCGAGTATCAGAAAGTGGAGTCAGACCGAAAACTAACCAGTTCTACTTGAAGTGCAGATGCTAGAAATTAATTATTTAACAGTCAAAATAACATACTTCTAAATACGCTACACTTCAAAGATACTCAAAATTACAGAATGGGAGATAGAGGAACACAGTTCACAGATTGTCCGGTTCTCTTTGGATGGGGTAAAGTTTCTACTGCTTCCTCTCCTAAGTATCAGGGGAAAAATAGGTTAAAAAGGAGTATAAATGAGGCTTGCAAATCCAACTCGTATCCAACGATATCATTGTCTATTCAGGCAGGCAACACATATATTATTCTGTCAGTTAATTTACGTGGATTATAAGCAAGAGCTTCTGCCTTTATTAACCTTGCAAAGCTGACATAGTCCAGCTTTCTGTCGGTAACGCATGCTGAAGCTGGATTTACAGAAGGACAGGGTTGCTGTGAGAGCTGTTAAGGTTATTTATTCCCGAAGAAATGCTCTCAGGCTGATGTTTCCACGCTGGAGTTCCTGAAGTCAGAGGCAAGAGGCCCGCCATCCACGGGGACTGCACGGCCTTGCACCACGCGCTGCAGGACACAGCAGGGCTGTGTCCCCCGAGCGCTGATGCGTCCGAGGGGAATTCAGAGAGATGTTGCACTTCTGCCTGCAATCACAGCTTTTTTATTTATTTACTTTTAGTAGAAGTGAGGAGCTGTAAGGGAAGATCAGAGTCAATCAGGCTTGTTTCATGTCTGTGAGCAGCAACGTGTTTTATTTGTTTACTAAAACGCTAAGGTTTGGGGGAGAGGCCTCTACCCAAAACATTATCGGGAGGGAACAGAAGCGATGACGGAAAACAGGAGGGAAACAAGATAGTAAAAGCACCCGGCAACACCCCGGCTATTGCCGGCCATCCTGCTTCCCGATAGCCCCCGGCGCGGGTCAGAGGGGCCTGCTGCCGCCAGCGCTTCTCCGCGCTCGTCCCCCGGCCGGGCCGGAGCCCGTCCAGCCCTGCCCG